ACTTCTAACGATCGTAAAGCATAACACTCTGTTCGTATTAATGGTTATGTTTCAATAAAGAGAATACCCTGTGCAGTTTTAATGATCCCCCGAGTGACAGACAAAACAGTTTATCGCTTTCTCATCACCATGTTATTCTTGGATACGGAACTAAACAGAATAATGAATAAGCTCCAATTGGGTGGGGCCAGGTGGTCCGCTAGCACTATAAGACCGGCAATAGTCTGGACAAGTACAAGCAGCCACACATACACACGTGACACTTACACTCCAATTAGGTGGGGCTAGGTGGTCCGCTAGCACTATAAGACCGGCAATAGTCTGGACAAGTACAAGCAGCCACTCATACACACGTGACACTTACACTCCAATTAGGTGGGGCTAGGTGGTCCGCTAGCACTTCGAGACCGGCAATAGTCTGGACAAGTACAAGCAGCCATACATACACACGTGCATACATTCCACTATATGAGAGAATGCAATGTTATAATCCATTTCACCTTTAACACCTTGAGATGATTCTATTCTGATGAACCTGTTTTAGTGGACATTATCCGCTGGATTTCCATATGTTTAAAGCCAGAAATCTTCACGCAAAGCAGGGTATAAATTGTCTTATTTATCTCCCCGGTTTGAAAAATGGGGGGATATAGCTATCAGCATGTTCTTCCGCCATCTATATTCTGTTTCTGTTTGCTATACAGATCAGTCTAGTAGTGAACTGGTGCCTTTTGATGATTTGTGGTTATTATTATTATTTATTTTTTTAATGTTTTCTTGACGTTAATTTGGACTTTACTGAAAATGAGACCAGAGCTCTTTTCTGGAGCAGAACCCCCAAACCGTTAAATATTTCTTGATGTAACTTGCTACACAGATCAGTCTAGTGGAACTGATGCCTTTTTATGATTTGGGATATTGAACAGTGCTAAACAGCATTATTTTTTTCTTCATTGAACTGTGGGTATCCAATGGCAATGAACCAAAAGTGGGATTTTAGTAGCCAAACTCCATTTCCGAATTGCACCAGGCAGGGGGGATATATCATCTCCTGATGACGCTTGTTCGGAATTTGTTTCCTGAGACGCACCTTGCATAAAATGAGTTTTAAATTGATAGTAAAGGTTTGGGAGTGAACATCCGTATCAACTCATTATGGCCGCACCATTGGCTCATTGAGATATTTGTAAATAAAGGCAACGAAACGCGTTCAATAATCATAAGAAATCTTCAAGTCCATTGTATAAGTCGGACTGCATCAGAAGCATGTGTCCATGAATCATTAATGAAGCCCTATCTGTGACATTGTACATATATATATATATGCTGGCATTCTGCTTGTGTTGAGGCTGTCATATAATTCTCGACAACGAAGAAGGATTCAGTGGGAAATTACATGAATATTGTCATTCTGGTGCTAGTGAATGGACATAGAGGAAAAGAATGGTGACATATGATCTGTCACTGTGTGCTTGACATACACATTGATTGGCAGTATGACAAATGCATGCGAATCACACTTTCACACGTTGACATGACCTTCCCTTGGGATCTATTGCTACTAGCAATTCATACTGAGTTTGTATTGCTGGGTATTGTCTGTTGGTCTCCTGCTGGGATCTGTTTGTGACAATCTTTATCATTTGTTCTTCCAATACCCCTAGGGATCCACATATACCGTATAGTCAGTCACTGATGTATAGTTAGTCTGTTGGTTGGTCTGGAGTGACCATTATGGTCATTGGCATGTGAAGGTCATGTGAAGGTCGGTAATATGACATTGACCCATTACACTTGGGGATCCAGTGACACCGTTGGTGTAGACTCAGTTTGTTGGTTGGTCTGGAACGCCCATTATAATATTGGCTTGTGAAGGTCATGTAAATTTATGTCCCATAAATTTATCAATGTTGAAACATAGGCTGGTCTGCTGCCAGAGTCACATAAATTACTGCTGGGAAACATAACAGGAACATGTGCACATAATCTTGAAGTACCCACAGTTTGATGACGTGAAGCCCAAGAAAGCATGACAAATTACACATGACAGGGATTAGTGACATAGTGCTGCAAAAAAACTTGAGAGGAATTGAGTGTGAACAAAGATCGATTTTGGGTGGACACAAATTAAAATATGTTTGACATGCACTTGGTGTATGAGGACATAAATATTAGGTTGCATTTTGCAAAAATAGGTTGCTCTGGTGCATGTTTTATACAGCAAACTCAAATCCTGCAATACAATATTTACTCTCTAATTAAGCTTTCAATTTTATGATGTTCAAGGACACTTGCGATAAGATGGAGATGTATGCCACGTGCTCATATTCACGGAAAAGGTAATTAGGGTAATTATGCTGATTATGGCAACTAATGAAAGATGTAACATCATCGTTCATCAATAATATAAACCTGATATTAGCTGGAAAATTAGGTTTACAGGGTGCTTTTGCTTAAAAATTGATTGGTATTGATCAATGAGGAGTCTTTGTTCATAGTATAAGAATAAGGGCATGATTAAGTGTGAAGGATAGATTCTGGATAATATTAGTAAATCACGTAATTACTCTGAGCATGACATTTGTGCAAAAATAGTGAGTGTTCCTTGTTCACATTCATAAAGTGGTGCATTGTTGTCTTGACATATTGGAGTTTATTACCCATAGGTTTAGTTATAACCAAATTCATGAAAATCGTATGTGCACTAGTGCAAATATTAATTCACATGCACCGGTGGATTGTTTACGTCACCCAGATGGCCGGGATGGCATTGTTGACATCATTCTAATCTTATAGTGACGTAATGTTGGAATGACGTCATACTAGAAATGACATCACATCTGAAGGTTGTTGATGTCATTCGACAATTATTGTTTTCTAAGAGTGCTTTTTTTAAAAATGGGAGCTCAAAAGGATTAAGAAATGATAAAGAAATTATTCCTTTTGCATGTGAGTCAAACTGATTTTATGAAACTTGTGTAAGAATTTATGTATTACCCTCACTCTCACTTGGGAAATACAAGAATTCTGGCACTCTTTTCATATAATCAGTGGGATGCTTTATATAATAATCTCTATATACAGTAGGACACGGATATAACAAACTACAAGGGACTGGAGAAATCAGTTTGATATATACGTTGTTCGTTATATACGTTTTCACCATCTTGGATAATAAAAAGCACAATATAGGTATAGGGAGATGTGCAGCTACTTTAGTCAGTGATTTTGCTAAATGCATTCATGAAACTGCATTGTCGAGATCAGACAAAATATCAAATACTTGCTGATTGTGTTGATTCGCCTCGATTGTGTTTATTCGCCGCTGATTGTGTGTAGCCAATTGTCAGTGACACTTGACACTGAGTGAGATTTCTCAATTTGCTATAGGCATCACTAATAAGTGGTATTTGGGCGTGCCGGGGATCAGATATCACTTGGCTATGTATGGTTGTTCGCTGTAGAGAGTTTGTTATGTACTTAAATTTTATATGATAATATAGAGGAGATACATCGGTGAACTTGTAACAGCTTGTTGTATCCGTTTATTCACTCTATCTATATTTGTAATATCTGTGTTCTACTGTATTGTCATGCCAGATATTGATCATCTTCCCGAGGAAACAATTAACGGATTGTAAAAGTCCAGTTTCCACCCTTGCAAAACTAGGCTGGAATTTCATGGCTTGATTGTAGCACCACCATGTCCCTCCTATTGACCAATCAGATTCCACCACTCATATCACTTGCATTTGCTTCAAACAAAATGGCGGAACTCCAGTCAAGATGATATGATTGATAATCAAGATCTTGATTGCAATAAAATGGATCTTACTTCATGAAGGGCGTCAAAACACTTGAACACCTTGATTAAAAGCATGAAAAGATTTGGAAAATATTTGTTGATTCCAAGTTGATGGTACACATACTCTGCAAATCCTGCAAACAACCCAAATCTGCATGGCTGTTGTCATGGTGATTATGAACCAGATGTCAATTTCATTACGCTATTTTGATTGGACTATGCATAGACTCATAAGTCCAGACAACATTTAACTCCATAATTCAAGCCAAGTTCAGCAAGGGTGGAAACTGGACTTTTATAGTCAGTTGACTCCTTTGCCTCGGGAAAATGGATATTGATTGACTCCACTATATCAATATATTGTTTGACTAAACTATATCAATATTTCGTTTGACTCCACGATATCAAAACATTGTTTGACTCCACAATATATCATTTGACTTTATGATATCATTAATTGTTTGAGACAATGTGCTAAATGGCCCCAGCAGAATCCTTAACATTGCTACGGCCTCACATCAGCAGTCTGCTCAGCCTCTTACTATATAGTCTGGAAGGTAATTTAACGTACCGACGTTTAATACAATATCTGAAAAACTCGAAAGGGTGCACGGGAATCACGCACGTTGAGACGCCGAACACCGTATTCGTGCGTGTGATTCCCGTGCACCCTTTCGAGTTGAGTTGATTGGTTCAACTGTGTCATATGCCCCTGTGACGCAGGGGTAGCATTATGTAGATGGCTGTTTTAATAAATGCTCGTTCCACCCGTGACAAACAGGTCTGGTTGTTGATGAAATATAGTGATAGCTAAATAGACCGATTTTTTATTCATGCACCGATTGTCTTTAAATGTAATATCAAGTTATGTATGACTGTTTAATAATCTCATACCAACTTTGACTGGAGTAGGTCCAATAGTTTTTAGATATTGTAGTAAACGTCGGTACCTTAAATTACCTTCCAGACAATAGATAACAAGACATATAGTCATGGTCCCCCAGGACTTGAGGTAACGAGGTATCATTGACAAGATTTTGTCTGTGTCGATATCCGGAAACAGAGGAGATTGAATTGTACGTGGATGTGACAAGGTACATCTGTTATATAAGAGGTGGTGTAATTCGAGATTGAGATGGAGACTGTTCAGCATTGTCTTGTATATGTGACCGTTTATCATGATTTGCTTTCACAGATTGAGTGAGATGTGTGAGTGAGCCTGCATATCCTCCTTAGATGCGGAATAGGACAGTCATCATCTGAACATTCCGTGAGCCAAGTGAAGCGGCAGCACTACTGTCAGACTGTCCGTGAGGAGACCTGAGTGGGAGATACCTCAGTAACACTCGTTCAGGTATGTCTCGTCATTCAATCTTACCTGCTCGTTCAGGTATGTCTCATCATTCAATCTTACCTGCTCGTTCAGGTATGTCTCGTCATTCAATCTTACCTGCTCGTTCAGGTATGTCTCGTCATTCAATCTAACCTGCCAGGCAAAATAAAATACTCACCCATGTTTGATGGATGGTGGCTAAGTATGAAACAAAAAAGAAATGTTTTTTCAATCGTGATGTATTTCATACAGGTATCATAATTGCGTTTGGACCTTGCAGTGTTTTGACAATTCTTTTTATAGTAATGTTTTGATGATGTTCGTAATTTTTTTTATCAAATGCAGTTTTCAAGTGTGTACTTTCAGTTTATGATCAATATTTCAATCTAAGAGTTTGCAAAGAAAGTATAGTGCTCAATTTGTTTGGTGACTGTCTGCAGGGATGCCCAAGCACTGTCCCTGATTCTTACCACTGACCCTGTAAGAAGTGGTCTTCAAAAACCCATACTTGTCTTAAGAGGCGATTAACGGGATCGGGTGGTCAGTCTCAAAGATTTGGTTCATTCATGTAATTGTATCCCAGTTGCATAGATCGATTCTCTTGATGTCAATCACTTGATTGTCTGATCCAGACTCCATTATTTACAGACCGCCTTCACATTGCTGAGTGCAGTGTTAAACAAACAAACAAACAAACAAACTAACACATACCATTTGTGATTTGTTTGGTTCAGACGCTTACACTTTTTTCACAATCTGGAATCCACTTGATACCCATTCCCCACCTCCTTCAAACTTACATACAAACCAATTTGAGAATTACCATACCCTTGATACTATACACAGAACTTGAACCTGGTATGAGAAGATCAGAGAAACCTTTAGTCAGACTTTTATGCTCGCAACTTATGAACAGGATACAAAACATTTACCCTTCATTTTATATATACTTCGTGTTTATTTCAGAACCACACCCTCCAACACATGAGGCTGGATTAACAAGAGGAAACCACCCTCACCTACACTCTAAGGTCGCTTCTGTCACCAAGTTCGTGACAGAATTACAGTTCTGTGTTGTTTTTTCTCCAACCGCCAAAATTTCGTTCAACACGTTTAAAGATAATTTCTCCACGGGCATGAACTTCCTGAAAAGGAGGTTCAGCTCGGGAGATCTACAAGGAGAACTACGGGATGAAGACTTCATCCCTCCCGTGGCACCACGGAAAGGCCCCTCGCCAAGTGCCCCAAGCTCGCCCTCAAAGACAACATCAGCGCCTGGTATTGGAAGGGGTTTTTTCTCGGCAAATAAACCCACATACAACCGTGATAGGTGCAAGACCCTGCTTGTCATTGATGACTGTCATACAGATTGGTGAGTAGAAGGCAGAGTTGTGTACCTTAGATGTGCTAGGATCTGATTATTATTGGTTCATTGGCAGATGGTAATGACCTGCAGCATTATCGACTTGACCACAACATTAAGCTGACGTGCTGTCATAGAACTGTTAAGTTGTTCAACACAGTGTTAAAACACTTTATTGTATTTTTCCTGTACTTACATTAGACCTTATGCAGCCAACCAAAGTGACAAAATAACAAGACTTTTGACAACTTTTGGAGTGGGTGGACTGACTTTTACAATTACCGTAGTCGACGTAATAAGCGCCCAGGGTGCTCTCAAAATTAGAGATAGGGGGCTCTTATTAGAATATAATTTTGGTGAAAGAGTCAAAAGATCGTAAATTTTATTGTTTTATGCTGACAGCCTGAAGTGATACAAAAGAAAAGTCTGTGCGTATTATACACGACAGATATATTTTTCCAGAATTTAATTGCCGTAATTAAGGGTGCATATAACACACGAGTGCGTATTATACACGAATAAATAAGTCTTGTGTACATTGATCAATCGGAAGGGAGCAAATTGAGATTGTTCACTAGCCAATATATTGGAAAATATCGCCGTGGGCGCTTATTACGTTGAATACGGTAGGTAAAATGAAAAAAAACTTGGTCATGTAGTTTGTATAAAAAAAATTATTCTAACAAAAAAACAAACAATCAATTACCTTTCGTTATCTTGTCATGCTAAAACTTGCATGTTTTTCGTTCATTAGCAGCAGTACTAATCTGGAAAATTATTTTTATGAATTTACCACCAAATTTGAATTTTAGGCCAATTTTTGTTGTAAATTAACTTATTAAAAGAAAGGCTGTAGGTTAGACCAATATTCTTTTAACATTGGCATGTGAGTCTGAGAACAAATTATGCTTCACTTATTTGGTAGAATTTTCATTTAAGACCTATTCATTCAAAAGTTTCTTTTGAGGAAAATGGATTAAGTGACCAGTGATGGAGACATTATACAAGATAATGACAGGAAATCTTAGTCTAAGGGTAGTAAGTTTGAATATGTTTAATTTGGTTTGAAGTTAACAAGCAGTCAATATTATATTTGTGCATAAATGAGTAAAACATTCAAGTCAAAATAGAGAATCAATAGGACTTTGATAATTATTTTCATCATTTAAATATATATAACAGGTACATCCAACAAGATGTTCAATTAGCACTGTTGATGGAGGAGTAAGATGAAATGTGAAACCTGTTAGTGATATCAAATCTTTGTTCTGGCATCTTGTTTCTGTATACATGATGCTGACCAAGACATTGTAGTAAGAAACATTATTAATATTCTAAAAATGTAACTATTCAAGTAGTTTTGTTTGTACTTTATTCTTTTTGTACTGTAAATATAATAATTTTACTATTACTGTATAAGAAATACACCCTTTGAGTCAAGCAAACAGGAAAAGTGACATGCATCAACCAAATCACTGAGCCTGACCACCTGATCCTGTTCATCGCCTCTTGTGACAAGAATTTGACCGATTCTAACCCGGATCTTCATGGGTAGTCAGGGTGTGAATTCATCATGGTGAAGACACAGGTTTATTTCTCCGTGGATTCAACATGCAAAGTTTCTTCTTCCTATCCCCGAGATCCTGGTTAAGAGCATCAGTAAACCGTTATAACACAGCTTGTGTAAAACTTGACAAAAAGTTTCACGATTTGCTATCAGGAAGAACTAAGACCTTTAAGGACTACATGTTAAACAGACCATGTGTCTTTAATACAGATCAGCTTCCCATCAAGCTCTGACATGCTAGCGTCAGTGACACCCAAGGAGCTTTAATGCATTTAGAGGCGCCCTGGCTGGGAGAGAGACCCTGCCGGTTCTAATGTGTCCAGTCACCAACCTCAATGTTCATCAACATCACTCAATTAGCCGAGGATGCAGTGACACTCTGTAGGCTGGCTCTATTTAATTGGATATTGATGAAACAATAAGAGAGCTGTATTTTTAACGTTACAAGACAGACGTCCTGTTTGATCCTTGTCATAATATTCTCTAAACCATTAGGATTTGTATTGGCTCGACTGGTCGTTGATGGTTGAGGTAAAATTGCCATGCATTGTCGGTCATCATTCTGTACGTCATTCTACCCATTCTTTATTTTTGTATGTTTATTGGTGGGCTCCTAAACTAATTAATTTGGGTCTCAAACGTATAATTAGACCGCTGGGTGGGTCTCAAAGTGGTGTCACATCTCTAGAGCCTGTAAGCCATTTTAATCAACGTTTCTCCTGTTGTCAACTAGCCAGAAGAGATACTGCTTTCCTTATCATCTTACCATCCATTGGTCAATTGACATGGGCAGTAGCTTCAGGTTTATACGTTTGATTTTAACACAGTAGATTGCCTTTTACTTACAAATATTTTTTTGTTCATTTTATTCCAATAATGTGACATAATAACAGTCAAAATACTAAACTCCTTGGTTAGTGTGGAGCCGGGTTGGTGCACATGGTCTTGTGCACAGCGTGGGGCGGTCGGGTAGCCTAGTGGTTAAAGCGTTCGCTCGTCAGGCCGAAGACCCGGGTTCGATTCCCGACATGGGTACAATGTGTGAAGCCCATTTCTGGTGTCCCCCGCCGTGATATTGCTGGAATATTGCTAAAAGCGGAGTAAAACCATACTCACTCACTCACTTGTGCACAGCGCACAGAGGGCAAATCCGGTGCAGGTCAGCAGCTTGACTCCTTAGAGTTTCTAGGTATTCGGTCCTGCCCCACACTGAAGCACATGTGTGTCACATTAGAATATGCCTCGGGGGCTCGCGTGGTCCAGTCGTCTTAGGCGCCGCGATTCGCTGTTCAGAGTTCCGTCCCTTTGGCACACCAGAAACCTATTATTGTGGGTTCGAATGCCGGTTGGCCCCGATTATATTTCTAGGTTTGTCAGCACCATACCCCTGCTCGTGGGTTTCACCGAAGTGGTAAACGTCTGAGACCTGCATCACTTTGGGCTTTACTCCCACATATAACTGGATTACTGTTAAAAGCGGCGTAAAACCAAACTGACTGACTCACTAGAGTATGCCTCTGCTCACCCAGCAGTGAATAGGTACCTGGTAGAATGAGATGGTAATGTGAGTGTTAATCTTTGAGCACCTCACCGGCTTCTTGGATTGTGTATTCCCCAGGGAGCTGAGAATGCACACTGATCCAGTTGCTGGGGTGATAAAAAGATCGATCTTGGTCTAAGTGATTTTGAGTAAGAATAGGTCCCCAGCAACCTGTGCTGATCTTAAGTGGCGACTAAATGGATTGGGTGGTTAGACTCGGTGACTTGGTTAATTGCAAACAAACTCCAGATACAGATACAGCTGTATGGATGTTTGGTATGGAGGAGGGTGCAACCCCATGCACCTCCACCCCAGATCCACATATAAATACTGCCTTCTCAGTTACTCATTCAGGTTAACAAGATTATCAATTAATGGCACATGTCTAACACATTCACCACCAGAACATGAAACAAAACATGCACGGATGACAGGAAACAGAACACTGTAGCTCAGTGATGGCATCATGTTCTACCAACCCACATGCACGACTTTACCAATACCGTATTCGACGTAATAAGCGCCCCGCTCTAATAAGCGCCCACGGCGATATTTGCTAATATATTGGCTAGTGAACAATCTCAATTAGCACCCCTTCCGATTGATCAATGTACAAAAGACTTATTTATTCACGTATAATACGCACTCGTGTGTTATATACACCCTTAATTATGAGAAATTAAATTCTGGAAAAATGTATCTGTTGCATATAAACATTTCAGGCTGTCAGCATAAACCACGAAATTTATCTTTCAACTCTCTTTTTTTCACCAAAATAATATTCTAATAAGAGCACCCTATTTCTAATTTTGAGAGCGCCCTGGGCGCTTATTACGTCCAATACGATACTCAATACCGTATATCGCTGTGGATAAGGCGGGTTTTTAATACCTAGAATTAGGGGGCTTGCAAGGGGGGTTGTCTTATACACAAGGTCGGAGAGTTTTGATGTTTTTCCCCCACCACAAAGACATTACTGTGAGCACGTAACACCGGAAATACCACTCAACAAATCCATACTGAAGTATGCAAATTAATCATGTAATTACACTGTCTGTTCAAGTGTTCATTGTATATCTGGACATATTTGTAATCTATTTTAGTAATTTTATTCAAAATTTCATTCAGTATTGTATACATTCATTTTGGCGAAATCGTGTGTGAAGTGATCGGTAGATCGCACAGCTTACTGTTTTTTACAGCAACCACAGTCAGATTACCGCTATTGATGCTATTGATGAAACAAACTTTAGTGGATAGAGAATGGATAAATATATCGTAAATGCCATTAAATTGACTTGTTGAAAGTCATATGTGTTGTAGTCTAACTATCATTTTTCAACATATCATGAGCCGGGAGCATCAACGGTGAAATAATATCTGTCAAAAGTGATCAGCTGTAGCAAAGTGTTCAGTTATGGTTATTTATTTATTTCAAATATATATATAGTAAAGCTGCAACTTAAATAACATAATATAGGAATAAATTGTTCCTGATGAAATAATAGTTTCAAATACAATTCTTTCGGTCATTGTATTAAACTTATTAAAGTTATTACTATTGGGTAATTTTTAACCAAATAATCAGTAGAATCTGAAAAAACGAGTGTTCAGCTGATGGCTGCTTAATTACGAGACAATACACACAGTAATCTTAATCTCTACATATAAAACAATACCTAGCAGAACAGGAAATACAATTTGAATCATGAACAGGAATACAATTTGAATCATGAACAGGAATACAATTTGAATCATGAACAGGAAATACAATTTGAATCATGAACAGGAATACAGTTTGAATCATGAACAGGAATACAATTTGGATCATGAACAGGAATAACCATTTCTGAATTTATACCTTTATACCTGCTTCTTCTTAAGACGCAAAGGGCCATCAAA